CCGTTCGCGTGGCCTGGGGCTAGTCGGAGGGAGCGGGGCTCGGGCTCGGGCGGCCCTCGCCGGGTGGTGCCAGCGCTGTCCCTCTGGCGCTCCCCTTCCCCGCGGGCGATGGACGTGTCGAGGGACTTCTTCGGTAAGCTGCGCGCCCTAGCCCTCACGCTGGAGAAGGAGGCGAGGCAGCTCGAGCGGGCCCTACGCAGAGAGGACACGGGTAAGCGCAGGCCTTGCCTCGTCTCCTTCCCGGGGCGGCCGAATCCGCCGGGGCCTCTCCCGCTCCTGGGGCCGCAGCCCTGCTCCGGAGCTCCTGCCGGCGTGTCCGTCCCACCCCCAGGCGGCAAGACCCCGAGTCCGGAAGGTGATCTGGAGAGTTGCTCCCGATGACTCGTGGTGATGGGTGTCACGCCTGGACGCTGGGGCTGACGGCTCTGCTGGGATAGCCCTGGGGGAGGGCGGGGGCGGTTGTTTATCGGGAGTCCTCGATTTGGGTTCCCGCCTGCCGCTGTGCCCCTATGCTCCTCTAGGCATGCGGAGACGGGCCTGGGAGTAGCTCGGCAGGGTATGATTTGGGCTCCCCCTCTTATCATTGTCTCTCTGAGCGCTTTTGTGAGTGCGTAGGTGAGCTTTTATTACGGGGAAAAACGGGATGAACAGGGAATCACATTCTTGCTTTTACTCTTCTCATGGATTGAGACAGGAAAACGTATTTGCAGGGCTTGTTCTCTCTGCACAGATAGCTCAAGCTTCTAATTGGATTTATTGCTGTGCTATGTCTTGTCGCATAGCAGGTGTCCTCTTTTACACTATTTGCATTAACCTTGATTTCCAGTGAAAGAAGTAATGTCTGCTGCATGTGTAAGTGAACAATATTAACATCTGCCCACATGCGTATAAGGCGGAAGAATTCAGCTTTTTGTTGATGTACGTTTTTCAGTGCTGTCTATATCGCTTTTTTCAATTTTTATTATTATTTCAAGTTCAAGCTCTTTAAGGATAAAAATTCAGCATAAATAATCCTTGATAGCCCAGGGACCTACCTATTGTACCAACATCTGCCATACATTAATCTTTACAGTATTAGCTGCAACAGTAAAATGGAAGCCTGTGCAGTTTCTCTGTGTAGCTTAATATACTGTGCAAATTGCAGTCTCGTGCTGTGCAAGGTACCTGATGTGAACTAGTTTCTCTTTGATTTTCTCTATCTTGATTCTCTTTCTCAAACATGCGACTCCGACATCTCTAATACAGATTACGTTCTGATGTAGAATGTACTTGCATGCTAAAATACTAATACTCCTTTTTTCTTCCCAAACCTTCTTATGTGAACATGCATATCAAAGTCTATGAAGATGAATCTCCAGTAAGAGTCTTACATGACCTCCATTGTGAAATCAGGACTCTGAAGGTAACGTCTTAACTCACTTCCTTCTTGAAAAATTGGAGAGGGGGGGGGGGGGGGGGGTGTCCATAAACTTATGGTTCTATTTTGATCATTAAGCCACAATACAATTTTGTTAGTCACCAGTTCTGACCCTTATTTTCATTCATTTACCTCTAAGTCTTCAAAGTGGCTGTGGATGTTGGGGTAGTGCCCAAAAACTTGTGGGTGACTCAAAGTAGATTTAGCGGTGTTTATTAGTTTGCAATCACTGTTGTCGCTTGGATCAGCAGGGGACAAAGGTAACAGAGAGGTTGTAGCTGTGCCAAGGCGTAGGTATAGGGGAGAAGGATTCAGGAGCAGCAGCTCCCTACAGAAGAGTTGTATGCTTGTTTGTGTTCAATGACCAGCACTTAAAATAAAGACAATCTTCACAGAAGTTTTTTCAGGTACAGATAAGACCTAAATTTGCTGCTAATCCTCATCTGAATTGAAGTTCAATACTTATTCCCAAAACACTTCATGTGTAAACAACTATCATGTGGTGATTTGTAAACCAATATTTCTACATTTCTCTCCCCCCCCCTTCACCCCCAAAGGAAGATGTTAATGCCAGTCTTGGTAAGAGTTGCTCTGAAAAACAAGCAATTAATGACTTTATGAAGGCAAGTGAAATATTGATGCAAAGAAATGCAGCAGATCTTGGAAAAATAAGAGAGCTGTTCCAGAAATATGGCTACAAACCACATGTTAAAGACTCTACAGGTAATATTTCTTGGCAATGCAGTATGTGAAGACAAATGTAACTTTCTAAAATGTTTCTCTTTAGTTATGTGTATATTTCTATTAATTAAGAGATCAAGTACATCTATGTTATTTGCTTTATAATAATATCCAGAGGGTAAAAGATTCTGTTGTGATTGGTGCCATAAGAATAAACCAAAATACAAAAAACTTAGAGTTAGATCTCCTGGCATGCTTTTAAGTTAGCGTGTGGAGTTTCTTTCTCCAGTAATAGTTGCATTCAGAAAACATGTTAGCAAACATGTTTTCATAACCCAGAGAATTATGCTGCTTCAGCTTCTCATGCATGGGAAACTATTGTAGATGCATCTAAATTAGTTCATATTCATCTGTGATGATTCCATTAACTTAAATCACCATAGAGAAAAATCTTAAAATAATGTGCTCCATAGCACAAATGGGACAAGAGAAGCACATATGGGGATCAGGTGACACTGGCAATCTATGAAGCAGTACTAGCTTGATCATTGGGGGGGGGGGGGACGACGACATCCTTAATCCAGTCAGAAAGCACACACGCACCTGTGTGAAAAATCCAGATATACCAAACGAGTTTAAAATACTACAACTGTCAGTACTACACATACCCCTTTCGGTATCGAGGGCCCCATCAACCTTCAAGAAGCCTTTGGCAGGGTATGCCTGAACTTTCCCCCAAGCGTTATCCAGTCATTACACAAAACAAAATTGTGGTTGTGGACCATGTTGACCTCCGAGTTCAGCTACTACAGCTGTTTTACAAAGATACAGCAGAAGGCTCCAATTTTATAGTACCTTCCTTGCTGTCCTCTCTCTGCCTTTAAAGAAGACTCCAAACAGAGCTACAAGGTTAATTTAATTTTTAAGATTTATTTTTAAGCTAAGTGTATCTGCATATGTAATACTAATACACATAAAAAGGTAATGCCTCTGCTATATTATTTTAAATAGCTTCCCCCCCCCCCCCCACCCCTGTTTTTTAGATTCCCCCCCCCCCCCCCCACCGCTTCTTACATCATGCAGAAATTCACAAATATTTTGGGGTGTTTCAGTTTATCTAACTACGGAAATGTACAAATTACATGTTTGCTTATGTCTGCAATGGACCCTTCTTGTTATCTAAAAAGCTACCCTCTCTCATGACTTTTGAGTTGCTGCTTCATAACCTTTCCTCAATACTGTTTTTCTGAAGAATGAGCATTCTAGTACTGTGTGCAGCCTTTGCTCTTTCCCCAAAAACATTTTCAGTTCTAGACAAATTTTGTTTTCATTGTCATTTATGTTGTACATTTTTAATGAATTTCCATTCTTGCACTGAAATAAAAACAAATAAATATATTTAAGGTTAGCACTTCCTGCCTGCTCCATGCAGGGAGATGAATTCTATTAAAAATACTGTTGTGTAAAAATCTTTCCATTTCATTTTTCCTAGAAATAATATTTGCCAATAGAGTGAAATTCAGTAACTGTGTGACCTATATTATAAATATAGCTTAGCCTGATATGAGCTTTTGATATCTGTTGTAGCTTCAGGTTCAGTGCTTTAAAATGAAAGAAGGAATCTATTTTTTACAATAATAAATAAAAAATTTTGAGCTGGGGGGGAAGTACCAATTCATTTTATAAATTCTTAAAACAAACTTCTGACGTAATTTTTTGTAATTGTTATTACTTTTCTCAAACAGAAGAGGAGGAAGAAGTTAACAGTGATTCGAAGGTGTCTGTCCAGAATAAATCTGATGCAGAAAAAGCAGACAATGTACCTCATCTTCCTGCTTGTACTGAGAAGCCACTGGTGCCCAAAGACCCACTGCGTAACCCCCAGCTTTCTGATTTTGGTCTTTCACAATATGCTTTCTCCAGGCCTTGGAGTGCAGTGAAAGGACAACACGCAACAAATGCATATCGAGAAAATTCAAAGGACAGGACTCCACTAAAAACACAGACGCCCCGTATTTTGCCCAAAACACCAAAATGTATGCTAAAGATGGACGATTATGAGTGTGTAACACCAAAACTTGAACATTTTGGCATTAGTGAGCATACCATGTGTATGAATGAAGATTATACGATGTCACTTATTCGTAAAACTGCTCAGACAAGCAAGAAGTGAGTAAATTACTTAAGTTCACATTGTTTCTCTACTGAATTTTCTGTAGTTTCTTCTTGCTGTACTAATTTCTTGCTGCTATGGCCCTTCTCTTTTTCTTCAAGCAGGTGATATGTTATTATCTACCAGCTGGTTAGTCCTGTGTTTTTATTCAACTCTCTACACGTCTTTTCATGTACCCTTTGCAGTGCCAAACGCTGCCTTGAAACACATCTCTGATAGACTCCTTCCCTTGACTGCACCATGATAAGAACCTTCCATACACAATCTATTTACGAAGGGAAAATGCACAGTAAATCTGTGATCTTTTGCTTTCCTTAACCTTGGATTTGGATTTGAGGACATGTTGTCTGCAGTAGATATTACATAACCAATTTAAAGGTTTCAAAAGTCTCAGGAATATAGATAGACCCGTAAAAAAAACTTCTAAAGCATTCAGTAAAATGCCTCATTGTAGAAACAGAGCATTATCTCTTACGTTATCCAGCCTGACCTTACAAACTGTTAGCTCTTTTTGCTCCAGTCTTCTGTTGAAAAGACCTCTTCAGATTTTCACTGTTCTAATTAAAATTGAATTTGCAGCAATGAGGTGCAGAACACCTTAGCAGTAGAAGTAGAAGTATTTTTCTATACTTCTAAGGTAATGTAAAGGTAGTTAGATCGTGTTTTTATAGTTAGTATTAGCAATGCATTCAATTTTAAAAGCTGACAGTATTTAAAAGAAACTCACTGTTCTGCAGCTAAATATTTGGTATTTAGAGAAATTATTCAAAAAACAAGAACCGTATTGAAGCAAGTTGTGGAAATAATAATTCAACTTTTTTTCTTTTTTTTTTTAATCCCTGATATTTGCAATATAGGCATAGGTGTGAAGTTCTTCAGAACTATGCCAACTTAAGTGACTTTGTCCCCAAACATCCAATTTACTGCAATAGTTAAATTTGGAGTGTTTTTTTTAATTTTAAGATTACGGGGGGGGTGCGGGGGAAGGGAGAGTGAAAAGATACATTTTTCTTTTAAAATAGTTTTGGGATCTCTCCTTTTAAATAGTTATGTGAATACTATAATGTCTATAAAGCTTTATAGTATTGGAATTGTAATAACAGGAAAACTGTTACTGAATCCTGAAAGATATTAATTCAAAAATCATTCCCTCTCAAATAATATTTTGAAAATAGTTTCAGCTTATCACACAATTTAAGTTCTATTGATATCTATAACTTTTTGTGGTTTTGTACTACTTTTCCTATTTAATGAGAACTGTTTTAAATGTGGTCTTCACCTTTAATTATGGCTGTAATTTATAAATCTACATCCACGAATGTAGATTCTATTTCTGTGGCTTCTAGTGAAATGATTAGACGGTCCAGTAGTGATATTTATATATAATAATAAACAAAAAAAATCGCACTGGCAGTCTTCCATACCCATAATGAGAATATGAAAATTCTGTTGAGAATTAGTTACAGCATCATTGCTCTTTAACACATCATCGCTATTAATGACCAAAACAGACGGACACACTCTAATTGTGACTAAAGTTAAAGCTGCGTATGGATTCAGAATTAGTGGCATATGTGAGAGGTCATGACACTAAGTCATTAGAGTTAAAATGTTGTTTAACTGTCTTTTAGCTTATCTGTTTTGTTTATTTTGCAATGTGAAGTTAGGGTTAGCTTGCGGTTTGATCAGAAAGGTTGAAACAATTAAACAGCTTGTTGCCTCCAAAAAGCACTCATCTCACGTCTTGGTGAGAAGGATCAGCATGTTAAATGGGCAGAACACTAAGCCAACAAATTTAAAAAAAAAAAAAAAAAAAGATTTCCTCCCCCCAACACTGGATAATGTCCAGAATCTCTTCCCCGAGGATCAGATAAGCAAAAAAATTAGTACCAATGAGCTAGCTTTATACCTGTAGTTTCCAGATACAAAGACAGGTAATAATTCTGACTTACTTGGAGACAGCCCTGCCCTTTCTCATCCTTTGCTTGTGCCAGCCAGGTCTTGTACCTAGCTGAAATCTGTCTAGCAGCTGTGCATTGTGTGAAAACCACTTTAAAAATTAATCTCAAAGTTCTTAAAAAATATTTAGTAGACCTCAACTCCTCCAACTGTGTTTTTCAGGTTTTCAGTTTTGAAGCAGGTGAAAAGAACAATATACTTCAGTGCACCTACTACAAAACTGAAACCAAAAGTAATTATGAAAGAAAAGAAGGGGAAAAAAAAGGAAAGTGTCTGAACAAAAGTGGTTTTTGTTATACTTGTTCTTCTCCATTGTAAAAACTAAAAATCATATGGTTTCAGGTATCTATAATACTTCCAAGGTAAAACTGACTTAAAAAATTACTTTTTTTTTTTAACTCAAAATTTGAGATGTGTTCATCTAAGTAAAATATACTGCCTCAAGTGGATTCTTTTTTTAAGCTTAGGCTTTGTATATCTGGTTCTCATAGTTAAGATAACTTTTTAAACATTTAAAATAACTTTCTTATAGACACACTTTTGTGCAGAGTTTCGATAAGCGGCTTCTTTTTGTCCGGTATTGTCTCTTAACTGCCTACACCCTTCTTCCACTAGAGTATCTTGGATATGAAAAAAGAATTTTAAAAATTTCAGTGTCTAGTTTTGTGGAATTGATATTAAATGGCTTTTCACTCTGAAGTTAGCTAGCAATTAGCATAAGTAATCTTATTCAAACTTAAAAATTGAATTAGAAATCTTCTAGTGTTCACAATAATGTTAGTAGGTTAAGAGCCAAAAAGATTTCCTCTTGTTTAGAATTTTGTAGGCAACAGGCAATTCAAAATAAAATAGACTGTACGCCTAACACAAATTGATCATCTGGGACAAAGAAAATTGATCCTACCCTGGACATGTTTGTGTTTGTTTGTTTGGGGGGGGGGGGGGGGGGGGTTGTTTGGGTGTTTTTTTTTTTTAATGCCTTGGATTGAAATCTCAGTGTATTTGATAATTTGTGGATGGACTGAACATTTGCATGCTACAAATTGCTGTAGTAGAATCCTAGATGAAAAATCTGTGAAAAAATCATCTTTGAGGAAATGAATTTTTGACTTGCATGTTGATGTACAAATACTAGAAAAGTGATCAGGTTGACAGTATTCCTTTAACTGTGATTTCTTCATATTACTTGAGAGCTAATTGAGGGTTTTGGTTTTCAGGTTGGTTAAAAAAGATGATCATGAAGTGAGTGTACGAGAAAAGACATCCAGGGAAATCATGGTTACTCCTGGGCTAAAACCAAAAGTGACAGAGAATGGTAAGTTAAAAATATGTGAAATATTTATTTATTTATAAATGCATTTTTTGCATAATACATGTGTAAATGCATTGTAAACACACAGTAAACTTTTAAACTGTGTTTCTGGTTAAATATAGTTAATTCAGGCCCACTCGTATGAGTATTAATGTCTAGCAAATGAAATGTTGGGGGCTTCTATGGGAAAGTTTCTCACTTCAGTATAAATCTCTGCTCGTTCTTCTACTCATATCCATCTAGAATTATGCAGAGGGATCCATCATTTTGTAACTGCAACTTATCCTTATTTGAAATAAAAATACTGTTTTGCCAACTTAGCCTTTTTTTTTTTTTTTTTTTTTTCCCTGAGAGTACCCATTAGATCTGTTTAAAGATAGGAAAGAAATTGCTTTGGAAGAGGCTAACAAGACAGTAACTTAGATCTTTCAAGAGTAGTGCTAAAACTTCTTTGAGAGATGTAATATGTTCTCTTGAAAATGTGTGAAGATCTTGGGACAAACATAGTGACAATTGAATATATGGGAAGCTAAAGCAATGTTGATTTAAGTTGGGCTTTTTCAGTTATATTCAGTAGTGGGACTAGATTTTTTTTTTTGCATTTGCTTTTATGGAATTCTGTAATTTGGATGCTTTGTCATACTAAAAATATCAGCTAAAATGATACAGGTGTTTTAGAATATGCAAATATATTAAAAACTAATAGACTTAGAAAACTAAACTGGGGCACTGGAACTGATAATATTTATGTGTGTGTGTTTTTATTTTTATCCTGTGCGCCCCCCCGCTTAATTTCAGCAGCTGAGTGGATGGCTTCTCCTATGATACTTGTGTTCTGTACTCCTGATGTGAAAAACCCTTCCAGAACAAATAGTACAGTATTATCAAGGTCACCAGAGACAAATGAACTGCCTCTTCCCAGTCATACAGGAACACCACAGTTTCCAGATTTTGAAACAAGATGGCTAAAAACAGAAGCTAAGGTAGTAAATAGCAATTATGTACATTTTCACACACTTTTTACCATAAGCAATTTTTCAAATGTCACTTTGTGATTCTTTTCCAATACTACTTTTTCTTATGTCATTGTAGAAGATCTTTCTAATGGTAATTTTGTAAGAACATCTATTAAATACTTTACCTAAGATAAGTAAATTAACTGAAGGCATTTAATACCTCTTTTGCAGCAGGTAAAGCAGGGGGAAAAGATTGAGTTGGTGACTAAGAATGATGCAGCAGATAAACAATACGTAGAAGATAGCATTCCTTTTGCTGTGAGCTCTGATGAGTATCTTAAACGTTTTGGAGACCCTTCTCCTCCCAAAATAAAACACTATGACCAGTTACTCAATACTCCTCCACCTCCAGAAATAACAAGGATACCAGATGATGTTCTACAGGTTAGCTAATATACTTTTTTTTTCCCTCTAAATAGTTTTAATATCAAAATAGTAAAATTAAAAGGGCTTAGTTCTATCAAATTTTGTTCTTTAAAAAGAAAGAGTTCTCTGCTACTTATTAAAAATGTATAAACTGTAATCTGTTTTGAGTTCTTAGATAATTCTTGTCATTACCTTTTAATGTTTCCTGTAGATTCTGTCCAAGTATAATCATAAAGTAGACTCTTCTAAAGCCAAGGAAAGGGAGACCAAGGCAGGAAATACTACAAGATATGAAAGTGATTTCACTGATTACTGCAACAAAGAGAACAGGTATGATTTAAATTTTACAAATTTGGTTAAGTAATTTAATTTGGAGGATCTACGAAGGTGCTTTAATGCATTTAGAAATTCATGCAGCTGCTTGCTCTTCAGCTACCAAAATAGCTCTTGTTGCTGTAACTAAATAACTATTCTTTGGATAGTATCTGACTGCCTTTATTGCAAAGAACAAATATTAGAATTGATTGTGTGTTTGAATCCTCCAACTTTAAAAAAAATAAATGAAGGTAGAGTTTTGCTGTTTTATCAGTAGGTATATTTTGCTCCGTGGCAATCAAAGCACCAGTGAATGCTTTCTTCTGAGTAAATTTAGGCAATAAAACTAAGGAATTGGAGAAAACTACAAGTGTCACGACTGATTTCACAGTTGTTTTGGCAAAGACAAAGTTCTTTGAAATGCAAAGCCACCTTAGGAACAGTATGTGAGATCAAATTAGTCTACAATAAGTATGAGTAATCTTTGAACAATGGAATAATAGCTTTAAAAAGAACTTGATCGTTTTGAATAGAAAGAAGTTTTTGTGACAACCTGATCAAGTGTAGATATTTCTGATTCAATGCAATGTATATTATACTTGTTGATTATCTGTTAAACTTTGGGTCAGTACAAACTACTTAGGTAAGAGGTGCAAGGAACATGTATGGAGTCAAATAATAATCACAACAACCCAGAATGAGACTGATAAAAGTAGGAATCTTAATATACTTGGAGTTGGAATCCATTTGAGTAGTCAAATAGAGCAAAGCTCTTACTTTAGCTGACCTTTCTTTTTTTCTTGTCAAGTTAGTTAAAAAAAAAGTTTTCAATGTTTGTCTCTTCTGCTAATTCAAAATATGATTGAGATAATAAGTTCGTGAACTCTTCTGGATATATTTGCAGAGGATTTTTCAAGCCAAACATCTGAAACCAAGCTGAAGACCACGTTGAGACTTTCACATTCATGGATCTTATCACTGAATCACAGGAAGCTCAAAAAGCAAAAGAAAATACTGGTGGGAGGAAAGACCCATACAAAGGAAAAGCTTTTTTAATGGAGAAAGGTTGATGTGGATAAACTTGTTTGAACTAACAACTTGTGCTTAATTTTTTATTGAAATTATTGGCAAAACTTATTGAGGGTTTTTAAATATGTATATATGCTTCAAAGAGGACTGGGGTCATGTACGAGGTAGTTGTTTCCCCTGATTCTCATGTTTATTGTGTATGCTTGCGTTTGCAGTAGGCCGTAGAGAAGCGTAGTTAGGTTGCAGTAAAGGGAAAGTCCAGTATGTTGCCCCAGAAAATGGATATGTCTGGCTGTTCTGGTGACACTGTACATCAAGTAAAGGTGCCTCTTTCCTGCTATTCCAGGATAAGCGTACATCAAATTAGCTGGAGAAGCTGATTTTCTCCTAGTTCTGCCCTGAGCACACTGTCATTTTTCTGTGCTAGCTTCTGTTCAAAAATACATATGTATTATTATGTGTCAGTCTTTGAGCTTGATCAACACTTCTGAATACTAAATAAATCTGTCTCAGATGTTTGGTGGCTGCTTGGAAAACTAATAATCTGCTGCTGTAAAAGCACTTACTTGTTCTACCCAACTCCTTCAGAGAGTGAAGGCCAGACCTGCTTCCAGCATCTTCACAGACTAAAACCACTCAATGGGCTGGATGCGGGTCATGGAATTTCATGGTCTTAAAAAGGTACAAAGTATGCTGCTGCAGAGCAAGAGTCTTTCAGCCAGACAGATTTACCAGCGCTAAGCAGGAGGGGTTTCACAGCCTGCATTCTCCCTCCACAGCACTTCATGGCTGCTTTCTAGCCCTGAAGCAAGCCAGATATCCTGAAAGACTCCATTCAACATGACATGGGACGAGCAGCACTACTGTCCTGGACCTTGCTGTATTCCCCCCGCCCCCTTCAACTAGTGAAATTCCCCAAAGGGCTTATAAATGTCTTTTCCTTAAACTTGAGAACAACTCTCCGCTCTGCTGTCCTTTCCTCCATTAGGGAACTGTAGAGTTGTACCTAACAGTGCTGGGGTTCTCACTGTAAGCCACTTGCGTCACTTTCTTGCCTATTGACAATGTTTTCTGCTATATTTCATAGCTATTTCATTAACTAATATGAAAGGGATTCAATTAATATTTTGAGATACAAATTATCTTCCGGATGACAATTGAAATCTTAAACTGTTCTCGTGTACTCAATCTATTATGACATGATGCTGGCATGAGACGCTGTGGAATCTAGAAATGAAGTTTTACTGGTTAGTTTTGTTTTTCTTGCTTATGATTGTCATGGTTTAACCTCAGCCGGCAGCTAAGCACCACACAGCCGCTCGCTCACTCCCCCAGAGTGGGATGGGGGAGAGAATCGGAAGGGTAAAAGTGAGAAAATTTGTGGGTTGAGATAAAGACAGTTTAATAGGTAAAGCAAAAGCAGCGCACGCAAGCAAAGCAAAACAAGGAATTCATTCACTGCTTCCCATGTGCAGGCAGGTGTTCAGCCATCTCCAGGAAAGCAGGGCTCCATCACACATAATGGTTACTTGGGAAGACAAACACCATCACTCCAAACGTCCCCCCCTTCCTTCTTCTTCCCCCAGCTTTATATACTGAGCATGACGTCACATGGTATGGAATATCCCTTTGGCCAGTTTGGGTCAGCTGTCCTGGCTGTGCCCCCTCCCAGCTTCTTGTGCACCCCCAGCCTTCTCAGTCGGTAGAGCATGGGAAGCTGAAAAGTCCTTGACTAGTGTAAACACTACCTAGCAACAACTAAAACATCAGTGTGTTATCAACATTGTTCTCACCCTAAATCCAAAACACAGCACTGTACCAGCTACTGGGAAGGAAATTAACTCTATCCCTGCCGAAACCAGGACAATGATATTACCCTAACACAAGCAATCTTGCTGTTTGTACTTATTTTCTTTATAGAAGGACCATTGCTCTGAGGTGGATATAATCGGAGCAGCAAAACAAAAACTAGTTTTAGTTTGTTGTGCTTTACCTTTGAAAACCTAGGTTTCAGTAAGGCCTAAGCTGTAGTTTGAGTATCGGGGGTGGGGAAGGGAAAAGTTGGCAGAAGTGAAAGCATAAGCAGTGTTGGAAACTGATCTGTGTTCAAAATAAGCTGGGGAGGGAAAGCTTTGTGTTTTGTTTTGTCTTTTTTCTTCCTTCCCAGATCAGTGTTCTCACGCAGGTGGCTGTGTGGCCATCTGATACACTGCACAAGTTCAAATACTGGAACAACCAAGGATGTAGCCACGGGGCTGGAGGAGGGTAAAACTCCACTTAAGCCAGTATCGCTGCTGAATGAAAGGCTCCTCCCGCTGTGCACGAAAGAAATATAATGTGTCAGAGTGGGAATAACGCAAAAGAACTTAAAAGTTACATGTTGGTTCGTTGTGGGGTGAATCTGATAACAGCATTGGCCTGTCAGAAAGTGCAGTTTGGATAAACAGCAGATAAATAAGTAGCAAATGCTGTAGTTCTGTAAGGACCAGTCCTCACCTGAAAACAGGCAAAATTGACTCAGAGTGCGGTTCTGTGTTGTGCTTAATTCAGTTTAATTGGGGGCTGCTTCCACTAGAGGCTGTTTCACCAATTCTCTTGCACAGAATCCAGGGGTTGTGCAGTTTTACGATGGATTCCTTCCATTTGCCAAGCCACTGAAAAGCTAATAAATTTTGTTTTCTCTTCTAGTTTGTCCTCCCCAACAGTAATCTCAAACTCAGCTTCTGCCTGTGTGAGCGCTAGATCAGAGGTAAGGGGAGGGTGAGAATGGGATCACATCTTCTAACAGCAGCCTGCAGTCAGAAAAGATTGAACCCAGCACAAAACTGCACTTCAGTATTTAGGCACATCTGGGAAGCAACCAAAAAAGCATAGCCTTTAGTTTTCCTTCACTTGCTGTGGTTCTTAATCTTTTTTCATTTTTTTAAGTATATCAAATGTGTCAGCTAACAGAAGCTTCTCTCCATCATCCCATTTGTTGTCAAAGGAGTGTCTCGATTGTTCTGCCTAGGAAGCTCCTTAAGGCGGTCAGTGCTTTCTTACCTTGGGAATCTTTTGCCTGAGGTTAAATACAAATACAGATCTTGCAGTGAAATGAAACTTCCCAGATGGTTGTCAAATGGATAAATGACAAGCATCATTTTTAGTGCCTCCCGTTGTGCTTTTTATTGATGTTTTTATAAATCACTGGAGTCCAGGCTTCCTTGGTTATTTAAAACATCATGGATGCTTTAAATTTTCTGAAAGATGTGATATTTGCTTTGTTCCCTGTTGTCATTATTCAGATGTCCCAGTACTTGTGGCGGTAGCATGTGCTCCAGCAACAGATGTAGCTGATGTCAGAGCTGCCTTGTATTTTGGGAGTGCCTTGTTTCCCCATGGGACAGTAATACAGAGATTGTGGCATTTATAAGGAGCAATGACAACATCCAGTGGCTGCACTGTGGAATCACAGGTACATTAGTCCACAGGAATACAACTTTCTACCAGGAAGACTTCAGTCAATGCTGGCTGTATTATCTATCAACTTAAATGTGAAACCTCATGCTGTTCTTATGGTAATATCCACTTTTACAAAGGGGCAGTTTGACATCATGGTAGGGAGCTGACCAGGCCCGTCAATTTCTTCGATCTTGTCTTGTCTAATTCAAGTTGAAGAGTTTTAAAAAAAAAAAAAAAAAAAGCACAAGAAATGGTCCATGGAAGAAGATGCTCTGCTACACGGGCATTTCTCCTGGGGAGAGACCAAGCAAAGGATAGTTTGCAGAATACCCAGCAGGAAGGTGTTCAGATACTTTCATAATTTTTGGCATACTGCATTCCTGGCTTAAAGCCCTGCGGTTACGCTCCCTAATGATTGCTTACGCAATTGTTGTAAACCAATCCAAGGCCTTACTGCACAGTCCCGCCTTTCCCTCAGCTGCAGGTCCCACACCCTCGATGGTGTCACTGCAGGTGT